TAGCGTATTTGCCATTTGGCCACTCATTGTCTCGTTTGCCATCGTATCGATCGCCACATACCCCACACTTTCCTTTATTCACTTTCCATTGAGTCTTAAATTATAATTGATTTATCATTTCTAATAACGTAAATGTATTGCAAATTTACTTACTGTAAATCCTCCGCAAAACAACTCATTGTCGTTGTAATTAATTTCAGTTTTATAGCCAAATCTCCAGGCGCTTGATCTGGAAGGCGGATCGATTAGCCTCCCGTGTCCGCACACACACACCATCTCAATCATTAAGTAAAATATTACATAAACTATAATTTTATTACAATCGATGCAAATTGTCATTATTGGTGCTTCAAATTTCAAAATATCTTCATTAAACCATTACTTCTATGATTTGGTCATCATATCTAAAATTTATATGAAATTTAAGTAATTTGCTATAAAATTGTTTATATTTATTAGTATTGATTTGAATTGTAAAACAAATATAAAGAAAATTGATATTAAATGAAAATTTTATGAGACTGTCCTTCAGTTTTAAGAAAAGATTCTTTAAATATTGAAGAACTTTCAGGAAGTATAACGACCACCAAATAGTATTGGTTTAAAACTAGTTTAAATAACTCAGTTTTCAAATAACAGTTACAATAAATACCAAAATCTATTGAAAATACACGTTTTCTTTTTTACAAAACATAAAAGAGTTAATGAATTGACAATGATTTTAAAATTTTGAATTATTTTTATAAGAATAAAGAAGAAGAAAAGCACAAACTTCAGTATAGATATATCTGAAAGTAAACACTCTTTATACAGATGTAATATTTACATTGCATTCATTACTCTGACTCGTGAGAGACTTGAATTAAATTCTTGAATGAAAGAGTTCATTGACATTAGACTACATATTTATTATAAAGCCTTTACCTTAAACTCTCACATACTTTATAGTTCTTTGTTATACAGTGTGAGCAGAATTAGATTGCAGTGTGCTTTTTGTATATTTTTAAATTGGAAAATTTAGTTGCCCTGGGGCGGATAATTTGGCTATTTTAGATTTTTGTTAAACCCCCTGCACGTTGTGCACCATGGATCTTTTTTAATCAAAAATGTTATACCAACTATTTGACAAAGTCTCGAAGAGTTAGACCCAATAAATTAAATATTCTCTCAAGTATCTAAATTAATTACTTTTTGATAATAGTTGTTAATTTAGTTTAAATTACAAAAATTAGTGATTTATTTAGTAAATATGTGTAATATAAATGTCGCTAATATAGAGTGGTTGAAAATTTAGCCTAAATATTTATCGAGACCCCTAAACGTTCCCTAAATTTATGGGTAAACCGTTCCTAAACTTTCTAACGTTCCTAAACTTTCACCATAACATCTCTACATTTAACTTATAAGCTATGAAAATTTACCTCGTATTTAATTTAATTTAACTTTAAATTTATCTTAATTATTAATTACTGAATAGGATATAACATACTAATATTTTTATAATGTTATTGATTATAAATTATTATTTTGTTTGTAAACTTTACAATGTAGTAACTTTAAGTTATACGTGAGATTAAGATTGTACTAATCAAATAAATTATACAATAGTAATAAATTGACATAAAAGGTCAGTTCAGATGAGGTGAGGCCAATCATAAATCAATAATCTAAACACATCGATTAGATCATGTTAAATCGTTAAGTTAAATAATATTAAATGTTTTTTTTGTATACGACTTACGCAATAGAATGAGAATTAGGGATGAGATGTGCCATTAGTAGTAATCCTTGTTATTGTAAAACTCATACTTTCGTATTTATACTTCATATTTACACCAAAAGTCCTTAAGAAAAAAGTTCATAAATTATAGTTAAATATTCGGAATATTTAAGTTGGTATTTAATTATGTTCATAACTTTCAAACTTTCATTTCTAATATGATTTTAATCAATATTTAGGGTTTAGTCAATCATTTTGATAATATTATTACGTTTTTAGTGAAATAAACAAATAAAATATTGAAATAGAAATTATTTCTTCAAAATATATGTTTCACTTTTCATAGACTTAATCACTTTTAATAATATCTTAGTTTTAGCACAAAAAAGCAATTAATGACAAATTTAAGTATACAATAGTGTGTCAAAGCGCGATATCACTCATATTAAGTACACTTTTGGTCAAGTTTTGTCCTTTTTATTTAAATTTGTGCATTTGATAAATGCAGTAAATACTGTATATTATGACATAAATATTTGCCTATTCATTAGACCATAATCTAATGCCATTTACATAATATATTTCTAAATTACATAATGTTAGCGTTAATTATAAGTTATAAAATTTCTTATAAAACGTATAATCAATTAGAAAACTTGAATTGTGGTGAAAATGATTGCGCAATTGTTCCACCTTATAGTAACTTAAACAATGAAAGTGTTTACCATTAAATCAAAATTATGATGATTATTATTATTGATATTTTAAATAATTTTATTGCATCGATAAAATTAGCGGAAATGATTACTGTACATTATGAAATATTATAATAATTTTTATTTTTAAATGCAAAATATATTATTTTAAAATTATTGAAAAACTTATTAAAATTAATACAATTTGCTTATAAAAACAAATTCTTAACTTATAAATTATAATCTAGATTTCATTAAGTTTTTAAATTATAAATAAAATGTAAACAATTAATTACATGTAAAATAAGATGAAAT